ATATATATATATATATATATAAATAACCACACACACCAATCCCCATTCAAATTAAATTCAAAATTAACTTGGTCTGATCAGTGATAACAGCAATGCTAGAGGTGTTACAGTCACAAAGCAGCTAATCTCTTTAGGATACACTAACGTAAATTCCAGTATCTGCATATTTTTAATAATGCAACATGCACTGTCATATCAAAATGATGTATTTTGTATGCTCAATTTCACCAAATCTGACAAAAATTTAAAACTACTGAAGGAGTTCTTGTATTTGGTAATTTTCAAATGTTTAACCATTCTTCCAGTGTTTCCGCAACTTCATCCAATAAACTTTGAAGAAATTTTATGCGGAATTTTGTTTATTATTTTCTATTTAGGCAGCACATTCTCCCGAAAATATTAAAAAAAAACAATCAAAGCATAAACATATCTTTAAATATTGTACCTTTGTAAGGGCAGCAGTATGATCTTCTCCACAACATATATGAACAACCTTCTGAGTTCTCAGTGACTTTAGCAGTGTAGGAACATACCTGTCTGAAAGGTTTAATACAGCAGTAGGTCACTTTTTAAAAAAATAATTAAAAAAAAATCAGAAAACAGTTTTGCTCACTTATTTGAATTTGGTTCCAGTCCAACAAGCGCTGTAAATTTTTCAGCATAATGCAATCATTGTGACTGAGTTTATGTATCTTTGAGATGGAAGTGTTACTAGAATAAAACAGAAAGACTACCATATTGAAATACTTCGTAGCAAATAGTCTCATTTTCAATACCTAAATCGTGAAATATGAAACAGTACATTAGACCTGCTATTGGCCAGGAGAAAAGAATACAAATGACAGTTGTTTTGAGTTGTTTACGTGCTTCACATTTTTAAAGCGTTCCTGTAAATTGGTATCAGTTGGTCATAGCTCAGTATTACTAAACGTATACTAGAATGGAATACCAAATAATTCGGAAGCACAACTAACTTCCCTCCATCACCACAACAAATCAGCTTTGTCATCCAGTTGCACAAAGAGGCAATTTTTTTAACTGTTAATGCCAATGACTTAAAATTTCTCAGGTACGCTTAGATGCCTGGAAGAGGCCCTATCAAGACATAAAAAAAGGATTTTACTGAGAAGTGATGCTACATAAAAAACTGGGGTCATATATATTCCAAAGAATATGTAGAAGCAACTAAAGTCCCCCATGAAAATTTCATTTCTGAAAAATACAACTAATTTTCTTATTACACAAGTGTGACCAGATTTAAAGCATTAATTCAGATACACATTTTAACTACAGAGCATTTTTCTTATTTTAAATGGTGTTGAGAACAATAAACCAGTGAAAAAATTTGAATTCATGAAACTACTACGGATTATTCTGTACTAAACTGTATATTAAAGGAACCTGATAGCATATACTCCCATCTCGGAGCCCTGTGCACAGATAGTGTGCATGTAATGTAATACAACTAACAAAGAAACAATTTTTTGACTAACCTAACCACTTGCTTAAAATCATTAATAAGTTAATAATCATTACCACCCAAGCAGAGGAAATTTTAGAAATGGTTAGCTGAAAACTGTGAATGATTATCAAAAGTGGCCTGAGAAAGGCAGATACACACATGGCAGTAAAACAATGAAGATGTTACATGTGTCTACTAAGGACAACCAAATAGTTTTGTCAGATTACGGTTAGGTTTTGTCAAGCAATTTCATCTACCTAAAACTCAGCTGAAGCTTTAACTACTGCACAGTATCTTAACTTAATCCCATTCAGAAGTTTAAGTCACAGAAAAATCTAGAACGGGGAAAGAAAACAAGGCAAGCAGGCTAGAATTTCAACAAAACACTGTCAGAATTTTCACTACAAAACAGCCATGGGAAAAAAGCCTTATGCCATCTCACATGACATCAACACTCTCCGACAATATTCAACAAAGGTTTGTTCTGTCTGCTTCTTTTCTAGGAATACTGCTGTCTTTAGATTCACAAACCAAAACCTTCAGCGTGACGTTTTACTGAAGTAATGTTTACTTACCATTATCATCATTAAGACCCAGCTGCCCAAATTTGTTGCGTCCCCATCCAAAAATGGCTCCAGAAAGAGTTAGTACAAAACTATGACCTCCTCCTGCTGCAATCTGTGCAAAAGGGATTCCCAGCAGAGATTTAATCACATGTGGCGAGTTTTGTTTTTTATACTCATAACCTAAGCCCAGCTGGCCGTATTTATTTTGTCCCCAGGAAAACACTTCACTTCCTGTTTAAAGGAGGACAAAAAAAAAAAAACAAACAACAAGAAATAGAATCAATATAGTTTAATTATATAAATTTAACGTACTGTAAGAAAAGCTAGAAGTTGGACAGTTACTCTTCAAATGCATACAAATTACTGACTTCTGAAGCTAGGCATTCTCACGTAATTTGCAGACATTCAACTCAAATATTTAATCAGACTGAAAAATCAGATTCAAAACCCTCAAAACTGCTCTTAACGTTCCTGTTTCAACAGTGTTAGGTAAGCTGAGTTTGGTTATTACAAAGCAAGATGCTGTTCCTTTGGGAGTTCCACCACTGCATATATTTTTAAGCAGTGATCTTGTTCAAGTCACATAATGGACATGCAAAAATTTCCAATCACAAGCCTCATTTAAGCTTTTATACAGTAAAATACTTAATTTTGACATACAACTTAAGTACATATATTTTAGGTTTTAAAATATTGTGCTACTGATATGATCAACAAAGCACCAAGTTTATAATGTCATTTGATGCCTTACAAAGAAAAAAAAGCCTTTTTGAAGAATCACAAATCACAGATCTATATATGTAAAGATTGTCTCCAAAATAAAACGTTCTACTGAACAACAAACATGTTGCCAAAGTATTCACTATTCCTAAAGATCAACACCTAATCACAAAGACACTTTGCTTTTGCTGATGTGGTGTTTCAAACATCCTTATGTTTCCTATGTCTCTCCTACCTCC